CTCAGGATGTTGTGCTTGTGAGGCAGCTGCAGTGCCACTGAGCTAAATCCCCAGCCCACCTTTTATTATATTTTGAGACAGAGTCTTGCTAAGGTTGGTCTTGAACTAGTGATCCTCCTGCCTCAGCTTCCCAAGTAGCTGGGATTACAAGCAAGCACCACACACCCAGTTCTAATTCATTCTTACTAGTGGCAATGCTCAAGTCTCCATGGTGTTCTGAAACCATTTAATATTTAATAATTACCTCTTTCAAGCGCTAATTATTAAGTATTCAAGAATTTTGTAAGGTAGATATTAAATCATTGCCTTGAAATCCTCATAATGGTAGAATTTATACCATGGAAACTGGCAATCGCTAGAAATCGGGGCCTTAATTTTTTACAGAGAGCTGGTACATCACTGGTGCAAGTTTAAAATAATTTTTAAAATAATTTAAAATAATTTTAAAATAAGTTTAATAATTTTTAAATAATTTTAATAATTTTTTAAAATGTACAGACATAATCACCTGTTGATTGAGAGTTCATTTTACTCCTCTTGTCTATTTCTTTTCTGTTTTCCCCCTAGCATGAACAGTACTGTCATAAACTCAAAGAGGATTTGAGCAGCACTCTACTAAAGAGATCTGGCCAGTTTCCCCAGAGGAGAGCAGAGGAACACTGGCATCATACTGCAGCTGCAGCTACTTTAATGTTCCCTTGCCTGCTACAAATGAGACTTAGTGCCTCAATTTTTGAGAATGTTCTGTATCGATACTTTCAATGAGGGGCTCCTACAGCGTAACTTTTCCTTGTCCTCTTCCATTTCAGCCTCCTCCATTTGAGCCCTTCCTACCTATTGCCCTTCACTGTCTCCCTGGCCTTTGACATTCTGAGCAAGACCTACATAAAATAACAAAGTCGGTCCTTTGGGTTTTGGAAGTTCTGCAACTTAAGGAACTGTGGATGATGTAAAGGTTGGGTGGAAGTGGGAAATTTTCTTCATTTGCTTTAAGCCCTTTTAGGGAAAGCAGTAGTACAAGGTATGACTGCTTTTCCAGCCAGGTCTCTATTCCAAATTTCTGTGTTTTAGTTCCAATTTTCTGCTGAGCATCTCCACTCAGGGCCCACAAACACCTTGAATTCAACAAACATCTCCAGAATAGAAACCCTCACCTTTCCATCTCTGACTTTCACCAGCACCATGACATTGAGCAGTGTTGCCATTTCTTCATTTTGTATGCCATGGACACATTAATTCCTGCAGGAAATTAAATGGTGTTGTGCATGCAAAATGCCTAGGTGTTAAAGAAAAAGCTCTCTCTCTCTCTCTCTCTCTCTCTCTTTTTCTCTAGCTTTCTTTCCTTCCCTCTCACCTTTCTAGAGGAAGAAAATTCTCATCTAGGGAAAAGGAAAAGTTCATTCTCTCTCTCTCTCTCTCTTTTTCTCTAGCTTTCTTTCCTTCCCTCTCACCTTTCTAGAGGAAGAAAATTCTCATCTAGGGAAAAGGAAAAGTTCATAAAGTTGTCAAAAATAATGTGCTTGCACTTAAGGTAGAAAATATTCTTTGGACAGTAAGTCCCATGTGAAAACCTTGAGAGGAAAGTGACACTCAGAGTTTGATACATTTTACTATTTTTTCATTGACCAAGAAACTCCAGTGAGAGTCAGAACAGGAGGGTGATGGGACAGAAACAGATTGGAAGCTCATCGTGACTTTGTGTCACAGGCAGAAAAGGGACAGGGAAGCCTGGAGGTGAAGTGCAGCTTAGGACTCTAGCCATGTTGAAAGACAGAGTTGTCTGAAGTCATCAAAAATCAGAGGGAAAAAAGATGTTCTCTCTGAGTTTCTTTCTTTTTTTTTTTCTTTCACTTGAAAATTACCAAAAGCTGGCAGACACATCCATCAGGCCTGGATGAACAAAACCACATCCATCTTCCCATTATCTCCTAGGCTGGGTCATTGGAAAAAGCTCATAAAACATGTGAAGACAGAACATAATTATTTAATACATGGTCAGAAGCTTGAGAGCATTAAGACCCAGCAGCATAGCAGGAAAAGTGAAAGATCACTCACGTGGAAAAGATTGTGGTTTTGAAGCAGAGAGAGGGAGAAGGAAGAAGGAAGGGCAGAAGAGAATGAGAGAGAAAGAAGAGCAAGAATATGGAAGAAATGACGTGTGCTTTGCTCACGATAGCAAGTCAGTGCTGGGGCTGGGGATTTAACTCAGTGGCACCACACCTGCCTCACAAGTGCAAGGTCCTGAGTTCAATCTCCGGTACTGGAAAAAAAAAGAAAGTAGCAAGTCAGTGCTTTTAGAGGACAGGTCTAAAAATGTTCTTTGAAACTGAGCACCTACTATGTGAAGACACTGTTCTAAAGACATTTAAGACACAGAGCTGGTCTTCTGGCACAGCTCTACCACTTACTTGACTTTAGTCCAATTATTTCATCTCCCTGAGTCTCAGTTTGGGGATTTGTAACATGGGGACAATGAATCCATTTTTTTAAGAATAAGACACAGTATGCGTAAAACTCTTTGCATAATGCCTGGATGATATATAGTACATGGTCAGTAAGCCATAGTTCTCACCTACTCCCGCCCCACTTCTACTCTCCTACCAACAAGGTGACTGTCCAGTTTCTGCTTTGCTATGTTCCCAGGGTGTGGTAGATATGCACTACTACACAGGAGGGAACAGGGTGCCAAAATGCAAAGCTGCACTTTAGGAGAAGTAAGTGAACATGCTCAGAGGAAAATAAAATATAAGAAGTATGAAGAGTAAAATTAGAAACTTATGGAAGCTTTTGAAGGAACCCCATATTTAGTGCAGAGAAGATTTGGGAAGGTGATGGGAGCCTGTATTCATCCATCTAGAAGGCTGCTGTGTGGAGGAGAATGAGCTTCTATGTCTCTATACCTAGACATAGATTTCAGGGCAGTGGAAGGAAGTGCTGACTGAGGTCAGGACCATCAAGGTGCAGAGTGAAAATGGAGGCTGAAAGTTTTAGGTAGGTTACTGCGAGACAAGGCTCAAGTGCTGAGTTTTGAAGAGGGGACAGACAATCTTTGCCCCTTTCAATCCTGAGGATTCTAATTCTGAGAATTTCGCTCTATTAGGAACAGTTGTCTATGGAGGTCATCAATTGCCTATTGTGGCTCATTCCAAGTCTCCTCATTCTCAACTTCCTAAATAATAGTGCAACCTTTGTTATTCAAAATAATAATAACCATCATTTCATTCAGATTTTTGTGCTGGTCTGCATGAAGTTTTTGAAATATTTCAGTAGTCTCCCTGCTTCTTGCTGTCACGCAAAGTATTCCCTTTCCCTTGAATCTAAAGACATTTTCCAAATTATGCCCATTCCTCTGTCATTCTCTTAGAGTCCTTCCTAGGTTCCCTGGTGCACTTAGCACCTCCTTTCTTATATTTTTATAGTGTTTTCTTTTTCTGTGTATTAGAGATCTCAGGGGCCTCTCTCAACAAAATTATGAGACTCTGTCCTCTCGCAGATCTTGTTATTCTCTCCTACTTCCACCTCCCCCTAGAAAAATACAAGGTGCTCAATACTTGAGTTTTCTTTATTTGAGTAGGGCAAATAACTACACATTCATCCCCCAAACAAACAAAACAAGCAAGTTACTGATTTGAATGTTCTTGTCCCCTCAATTCATGTGAAATTTAATCCCACCTGCAACAGTATTGAGAGGGAGCTAATTCGGTCACGGGGCTCCTCACGAATGGAGTAGGTGCCCTTACAGTGGTGCTTGCTGGAGGAAGTTTGCTCTTCTTGTCCTTCATCTCCTGCTGTGTGTGAACACCCATTCCTTCCCTCTGGATCTTGTAGTGTTTAAGGAGTCATTTTTAGAAACAGAACAGCTGTCATCAACATTTTGACCCTGGACTTCCCAGCCTCCAGAAATGTGAGAAATAAATTACTATTTCTTATAAATTACTCAGTTTGTGGTCTTCTGTTATAGCAACATGAAACAGACTAAGCCACAAGTAAATCGAAAACCAGTTTACAACAGTTTGTGCATCATGGCTCCTTCATATTCTAGGTCTGAGAAAGCCATAGCCATAAAAGGGCTATGTAACTATGAACTAATTCATATATCAAGAATGACTATGGGGCAGTGCTTAAGTGCACTTCAGTGCTTACAGTCATGTCCTTAAATATGATTTTTACCCTTCTCCACCATAACCCTAATAAATTCCCGGTAGAGAGGACCACAATTCTGTGTATGTGGGTGAAATCTCCAGCTCCAGCACAAGATGTTCTTCAGTCACTAATACACTGGGCCCAGTTTCCTCAGATATAACATGGGGAGAACAGCAACTTGCTCTTAGGATGATGTGATAGAAAAAAAAAAAAAGAAAGACAAGAAAATACTAAATATTTTAGAAGTATTAGTGGCCAATAACATCATTGTTTGGCCCAATAACATCTTCTGTGTTACCTCTTTTGTCAAACAGTGATTGTCTGCCTAGTCCACTGCTCCTCTACAGATCTACATGTGAACTCAGAAGGAAATGAGGAGGCCTTTGGTTCACTCTGCTCCTGGGTGCTTGCTATTTCTACCAAGCAGATTTCCTTTTTTTTTGGTACCGGGGATCGAACTTGGGTCCTTGTGTTTGCGGGTCACGCAGCGGAACCACTGAGCTAAATCCCTGTCCCCAACTAAGCAGATTTCCTTTCCTGGGGTCTTTGCTCTAAAAAGGAGAAAAAAAGCACAGGTCCTCCAAAGCTGGGGCATCACTTAAACTCCCTCCTTTTTCTACAGTAGTCTGCATAGAAAAGAAGGAGTATCAGTTTCCCATTGGTAAAGCATGAAGGGAGATTAATAACAATCACAGTTCTTATGAAGATAATGTTCTGTGAAAAATATCCCTCCATTCTAATTCTCAGTACAGAGAAATGGGGTCTGGAAGGCAGTAAAATCAATATGAGTTTGAGTCATACACTTGGACAGATGCAGGAATAACCCAGTTGCCTCAGGAGCCCACTGCTTTCCTTACCTGAGCTCTCCATTAAACTCAATTTGCTTTTCTTGACTTAGGATAAAGTTCTTGTGGTGACTTAAATTAGTCTTGAAATCTGAGCCAATATCACAACCACAACCATGTTTGTATAAGTGCTTGAGCTTATCATTTAAATTAATGAAGTGGAAAGAGCACTAGCTTAGATACTGTTTCTGTCCCGGGTCATGTGCTGTGACTATGCCTGTCATCACTTAGAACAGTCGGGTAATAATGCGACAATTGTTGTCAAAGGTCAGTGCCTTGCAATGATAACCTGGCAGTGCCAGGGGTTAGCTAAGGTTTGTTTCCTTCATTCTTCCTATACTTCACCTGCCCCAGAGTTAGTGCTCATAGATTTCAGGTTATCTTCCTTTATTCTATTTCCAGACAAATGTTTTGATTCATTCCACTGATTTTCTTTCTTAAAATTTTAATTTTTATTAGTACGTGTTTGTAGTACATTATTATTACATTCATCGTGGGGAGAAAATACATGACACATATACATAACATCTTAATTCCCTCCCTTCCATTTCCCTCCCCCATCTCTTGGTACCAGCCCATTAATTTTCAAAGAAAAAATTTAACCCCATCCTTGCCAGGTGATTGACAAAACACAAATTTACCCTTTGTAGCAACAGATAAGAGTTACACCTCAGGTCTTCCAAAAAACTACAACCATGAACCTCTCCTTATTCTCATCATTAGAAAACCCTGATCTGTGAGAAAGCATGTTTATAGAGGGAAAGATGAGCAAAGAATGTCCTTTTCTTTCATTCACCTGCATGCTTGTTACCAGGATTTGGGGTGCTCAAGTCTCCTTCTGAAGGGGATTTCTAAGTTCTTTCTGTCCTGAGTAAAGAATTAAATAAGTGCAAACAGTAGCAGAGTTTTATTAAAAATAGGAAAAGAAATAGGCTCTGCAGAGTGATTTGGGGCCAAGTAAAAGCAGAAAAAGGAGTATATCCTACACTGTGAGGGTGGGCCATCCATAAAAGAGAGAGTGCAGTGGCAAAAACTCAATGGTGACTGCCCTTTTTGTATCATCCACTCCTCAGGCTGATGTCAGGTCTAGGCCATCCTATTAAAAACCTGCTCAAATTCTCATGAGAAGTCCACTGGTAGAGCTTTGGAAACTGTTCTGCGCAGGTGTCCAGGGATTTTGTAATTAACAGATCACACCTACTTCCCCAGCCAGTTTTGCCATGCCCTAATCTGTCTCTTGTTGAGTCTTATCAGCAGCTAAATACTACACCATGAAATAGTTGTGCTCTTGGACCTGTGATCTTGACCCCGTGGAATCACTTTCACTGAACAGTGGCCAAAGTTGGCAAGGAATCATGGAAAACAGCTCAACACAGTATCCTCTGGTTGCTTTTACAGGGTGGTGTTTAGGGTAGTCCCCACACCTCATGAGAACAAAGTCTTCTCACTGAGGAGCCATGGAGCATTCCTCACAGGACCAGCTCACAGCAACTGGAGCAGCAGTGCATCATCGGGAGGAGCGAGTTGGTTTTACTTTCTCAACTTTGGAGAGTCCAATAAAGGCTAGGAGATTTCTGTTTCCTCCTTTACTGTGTTCTGAGGCAGATCTGTGTGGGGACCCCCTGTGTGGGGAAGGGAGAAAAATCTTTCTTTAACCCTCTAAGATTCAGTACCTGAGAATTAAAAGTAACAAAAGGTAGATTAACTGGGGAGGGGGGTATTCATAAGCACATACAGCTAACAAAGAAGTAGTTTGTTGCCTCTTTCAAATTAAAAACTCATAGAGCTAATTAAATAGGGGATCAGAAAGAGAATAAGCACATATGAAAAGAACAAATCATTCATTTAGAAAGACAAATGGATCTTTGAAGAGAACAAAGGGAGAGAAGAAAGTCTATGATACTGTTTGTCTATGCAGAAAAAGCAGTCTCTGTCTTCCTGGAGATTTATGGTGTGTACACTCTGGCTTTTCCTCCTAGGCGTGGACCCACCATAAAGGGTGAATGTATTGGCAGCATCATTTCCCAGAAGTTGCTGCTATTAAACAGATAAAGGAAGCCTCTTTTGGCATCTGTTGAATTTCAAAGGCCTTCAGCTTAGAGTAATCTTCATAGAAACTCTGGGTTTTCCCACAGTAGGTCCTAAAACGATGCCATTGGGCACCCATGTGTCATCCATGCTTCCTTGGCTAGTCCTTCCTCTTAGTATAGGGGGAAGAGATGTAACTCCCAAACTTAGTAGATATCCTAAACGCAAGTTCGTAGTTTTTTTTAAATCGAAGAATTAATTCTAGGAACAATGGAGGTTAAGAGTAGGAAAAAATTTATTGAGAGAAAGAAAGCTTCTAAGAGAGACAGAAGCAGGTTGCCCGCCCACCCCACTTTTCAAAGATATTTTATACAGCAAAGCCATGTGGTGAGGCAGGTAAAAAGTGGGATAAAACTATAAGACCCGATGGAAATTTACAAAGTGGCCATGAGGTGAGGCAAAACCATGACCAACCAATAAGATTATAAGTATAGCCACCCAGGTAATATTGATTAAATGGGGGTCAAGTGGGGGAGCAAATCTCGAGGCAAGCTTACAAGGATTTTCAGTAAGGAGGGGTCAGGGATATTTCCCAGAAAGGCTGGATTAAGACCTTCGCCCCCCACCCAGGTGATTGATACATATTTAGAATATCAATACCTATTTAGAATATTTATTCTACATGGGTGTGGTAGTTTTTTTCCTTTTAGAATGCTGGCCTTCAGTAAATGTGTTTTCACTGTCCTCCATGTTGGCTCCTTGCGGGCTGGCCCTGTCTAACTGCCTACAAGATATCTAATTAACTTACCTATCTGCAATACTCAGACCTATTTTTTTTTGCCTGAAAGCCCTCCATCCTTTGGGTTTTTCCTTTTTGGATCATACGTATTTTTGTAAGCAGCACACAATTCTGGTAAAAAGAATAAATACGTACTTTGAAGACTACAGGACACCTTGAGTGATTTCTAACAGCTTCCTGTATGTGTATTTAATCTTCATAAGTACGTTATAGTGAAAACAAGACAAAGGTCATTTTATTGAAGACAGTGAAGTTAATTAGATGTATTAGAGGCAGTTAGGCAAGCTGGGCTCTGAAGGGAGTCAATATAGAAGACAATTGAGGCACATTTACTAAAGGCCAGGATTCAAAAGAGAGAAACTCCTTTGTTCACATACTTCCCCTAGGGAGGAACAGCAGAGACTGATATTCTTAATAGGCATCAGTCACCTTGGGTGTGGACCAAAACCTGCCTTGCCTATTCCTTCTTGGAAATCCTTGTTCATTCCGCATATGCTTGCTAAGTGGCTTGCTTTCCCATTTGATCCCTATTCTAATCAATATTACCTAAGTGATTCTACTTGTCATTTTATTGGTTGACCTAATTTTGTCCCATCTTGAACCTGCCTTACCTTGTGGCTTTCCTCAAAACACTCTTGAGAGGGCCAGTGATTTAGCTCAGTGGTTCTGCCACCTGCCTCACAAGTGCAAGGTACCGAGTTCTATACCCAGTACCTCAAAACAAACAAACCAAAAAACACCCTTGAGAAAAGGGGTCAGCAGGCAACCCACTTTCCAGGTGTCTTCTGTGCCTCTTAGGCAGGAAATGTCTTTCTCTCAACAAATATTCCCTACTCTTAATGTCCATTGTTCCTAGAATTCATTATTCAATTTTAGAGAACACAAACTTGATGTTGCAGATATCTAGTGGGTTGGGAGTTATACTATTTCCCTTATTTGGATTAGTTGGGGGTCCACATATCATACACCCTATATCATTTAGAGGTTCCACTGAGATAATTGGATGGAGGTAAGAGTTTGCTTTTCCTTCATAAATGTGCTACTCGATTAGGTAATCAAAATGGTCTTAAATTTCATGCCTTATGTCTTAAAATTTTGTCAATTGCTTGTTTCTCTTGTGATGCATTGTCTTCAGTTAAAATAATGATAAATTTTTATGTTACATTTGGACTAGTTGCTAAATTTATTGGTGTTCCTTGCTTGGCCTGTTTCACTCGTTTAATTGCGGCTCAGGCAACAGTGCTAGGAAAATAGCGCCCCCTAGTAGAATTTAATATAAAATTCTGTAAAATGGGGTTTTTTTCCTTAAATTCTTTTATTGTTACATTTTAGGTATACAGTATGTTTCCATTTATCATTGGGTGCTTGTATCTGTACATGATGTATCTTGGTTTTTATTTTTTCCCCATTATCTGTGTGCCCTTCACTCCCTCCACCCTTCCCTATTTACATAGACTTCGTTTCCATTTTTTTTTCTTTTCTCATAATTTTTCCTTTCCCTTCTTTCCTTTAAGAAAGGTACATGCCTATTAATAAATCACGGGACCCCATTCACCAGTGAAAAGATGATAGATCACTTGCCATTCTTTTTTTTTTTTTTTTTTTCTGTACCAGGGACCTTGTGCTTGTAAGGCAGGTGCCAGAACCACTGAGCTAAATCCCCAGCCCTCACTGGCCATTCTTAAGACTTGGGGGACGGGTTCAGTGGGATGGTCTGGCTCAATCCTTCTCTATATCTACAGAAAATGTTGAGCCTGTTCTGCCTCAGTTTCCTTTCTGACCTGATCTTCTGCTGGTAAGGAGGCAATCTTAGCTCTTGAGATTCCCCATTCTTGCCTTTCTAGGCTAAGAGTGACAAATTGGGAGCAAGTTGTCTCAACAAGTCACTGTGAGCATGAGAAGAAAAGACTGCCTTTCCTGGTCTCATGTCAAATCTTTCCCTGACACTTGACATTTTCCTTATAGAAGTATGTAAAATTAGGAAAAGAAGGATCTCTAAAACTGCCCCAACCTTTCCAACTAAGGACCTTTAAGTTGAGCCCATAGAAAATGTGCCTTTGCTAATGCTGAAGACAAGAAAGTCATAAGGGAAAATCCCCAAAATCCTGGCTCTCTCGCTCTCCCCTCCTAGGTCTGGTTTTCATCATTTATGTGTGTAGGGGAGGTAAAATACTTTCGCTAGTAGGTTGTGGACTTTAAACTTTTTACTGTAAACTTACACAATGCTATGTGATTATTGGGGGGGGGTGGCTTAGGCTTTTATTAGGACTTTTTTTCCCCCTGCTAGTAAGTTAGAAACTTCCCCTAAGCTTTTCTCCAACTAGTTGGGAGTTAACTTTACAATCACCTTGAATCTAGACCACTCCTCCCTCCAGAAAGTCAGGCTGAGGAAACATGCAACAACTATTTGCCCTTCATGGAGGAGAATAGTAATCAGCTATTGACTTACACTTGTGCTCTATTAAGAGTGAAAAAGAGATTTGAATCAGCCTTTCTCTCCCTTCATGTTTCTCAGCCTTCAGGAAACTGATAGATGTGCCTTTATTAACACGTGAATTGTGGTTGCTAG